CCCAGAGGGTGCTGCCAGGCCTAGGGTCGCAGGCCTCCAGGTGGGCCCTACAAGTCCAGCAAAATCACATTTCCAGGTGACAGAGATCTGTCCCACTGGAGGATGGATTCTGTGGCATTATATTTAGCTGAGGCCACTCCCTGCCCCAAAATCTGCCTTCTTCAGACTCCACCACAAAATCTCCAGGAATTTCCCAACCTGGAGCTGGCAACCCTAGTCAAGCCTGGCCCGGAGCTTCCGGTTGGTGGATCAGCGATGGTGGTCGTTCTCCCCGGGGGAGCAGACCACACACCAGCGGTATGGAGGGGTACTATCTCAAGTAGCACTCACACAGAGCCTTTGTGATAGGCTCCAGGCCAGAGTGCTTTTGAGGGGCAGCCTCTTTGGCGGCTCAATGCCAGAGAATTGAGGCTTCCCTCTGCCCTGTTGGTCCTGCCATTGTGTGGCCCTCGGGCACAAGCTGATTCGACTGGGACAAGTGCTGGAGATCGAGCGGAATATCGATTACTGCAAGTGAAGTCAGAGAAATGACCGACAATGAACGTGAGTTCAAAATAAACAGAATATTTTAAAAGCAAATCCCCCCCCCAAAAAAAAAAAAATCCGGAAGAGGGAGCAGACTCATGAAAATGTTAGCGGATATGCTCAAGCCGGTGATGGAGCAACTTGATGGTATTAACCAGCAATTTACTTCCCTGAATCAAAACTTCGCATCCCAGCAGCTCCAACTGGCAGAAACGGCGAAGAAGGTGAAGCATACAACTGAAAGAATTAAAGAGATAGACACCACAAATAAGAAAATGAAGAATGGGGGAAGTTGAAGCAAAACAAAACTTCCAAGAAAACCGTTTGCTACAGCTACAAATGGAAAAAGCCAATATGATTCTCAGATTCCAGGGAGTTCCTGAATCGGAAAAAGAGGATCTGAAGAAGTTGCTCAGCGAGATCATCGCCCCAGCAATAGGCTCAACAGCGGATGAAGTCGTAAAAGGAGACTGCTTACAGGGCATACTCCAATTATATTTAAAAAAATAGCCTGCCTGGAGAAATTGTGGTCAGATTCTCAAGAAGACAGACCAGAGATGCTATTTTAAAAGCTACTTCAGCAACTCCACTGAAACTGGGGAATACAAACATTAAAACTTTAAAAGACATTCCATTTGAAATTCGCCAAAAGAGGAAAAGCTATAAGGACTTAATTTCTTTTCTTCAAATCAATGGAATTTCGTACAGGTGGGCGATCCCAGAGGGTGTCATCTTTAAAATCAACGACAAAAGAGAAAAGATTGACTCCATTTTTAAAGCCAAAGAATTTTTGAGACGTCAGTTGGGACCAGAGGAAGAATCGAAATCAAGTGACTCCACTACCTCTGAAACGGATGACTCTGCTGTAGAAACGGGTGCAGGCGCAATGAAAGTTACATATGATTTCAGAGACAGAAAACCGAAGTAAAGGCAGAAGGACTCTGAAAATTGCCTTTTGAAGCAAATAACAAGAAGATGCTCAGAAAGTTCTCTCACAACAACTAACATACTAACATTGAAGCCGAGACAAACAAGAACTCTACAAGTATATTGTTGTACTAACACTTTTATTAATAACACTTAGATTAACACGGATATGATCTCCTCCTCTTGGGTTTTTAGTATACTGTGGTTATCTATCCTTTATCCTTAGATGTAGTCCGCTTCCCTTATGTTTTCTTTGTAGTTTTGTAGTGTTATATAAAAACAATAAAAAATATCCCTCCAGGGATTAAAAAAAAAAAAAAAAAGCCTGGCCCTAATGAATCCTCCCTCCCTTTTTACTCACAAAACCCCAGCCTGGAACAGTGCGGTAGCCTAGCATCCACCACAGAGAGAATCCATTTTTTTTTAAAGCTACAGGTGCTCCTTTTTATCACTTTCAGATTTCTTAAGCTCCCCAATGTATTTTGGGAAGGTGTCACGTCATGAGTTTATTTGCTAAGAACCCTGTCCCTGCCTTAAAACCATACACAATGGCAATAAAGGATCTCCAGGAAAATACATTGTTTCACCTTAAACTAAGCATTCCCCCACCTGACCTGACCTTTCCTTACCTAGGTGGTCAACTGTGTTGGTCTGAAGCAGTAGAACAAATTTAGAGTCCAGTGGCACCTTTAAGACCAACAAAGTTTTAGTCAACGTATGAGCTTCTTTCCTGACCTGTTTACCATAATTATGAAACCACTTAACACCTTTCAGCCATCCCCGGCAGCTTCCCCTTCCAACAACAGGTCAAGCAACCATTAGCTACATTCATGCCCAATATCACGAGTTCCTCCAGATTGTTGTCAGTTCCTGGGAACCTCATTCAGAATCTCCCACCACACTGTTTTACTTCCAGATAATCCCATCATAACATTGTTCTGAGGGACAAGCACATTATCATACCCTGAGGTGGCATTTTGCCCTATAACTGGACATGCTCTGCCCCATGCAGTGTGCGCGTGTGTTTTCCTGGACCCAAACAGCACACCCAAGATGCTGGACATCTTGCTCTTCTCCGCGGACCTCTGGTCTTCTGGGTTGGTAACTGTAATTCCACCCCTCCCAAACCCTGCTATTTTCCTGGTCCTCCCTGTATTTCTGTTACCTTGGCTGCGTGTTTTACTGTATGCTTTTGTGCTTGTATATGTGTGGTTTTATTACCATTTCCTCTTTCAATAAAACAACCTTTATTGGTTAAGCAACAGACTGGTTTATTTCTGAGAGTTTCTCTGAGGGAAAAATCCCTGTCAACGCTGATGGCGAAATCTTGCTGTTACCCCCTCTTGCTAAGCAAGGAGGGTCTTCCTTAAGAGCTAAATCCCCCAAAATAATTCGGAGACCTCCCCCTTGGGTAACGCCTCAGTAACTTCAACTACTCTCACATTGTCTGGGCAAATATGTACTTGTGTCATGCCACAGAAACAGGCTTTCTAGACATCATAAATTACTGTGCACTTTAACAGTTGGTCACAGAGCCAACTAGGGATGCTGCAACTCCGGACTAGGTTCTGAGCAGGGATCGTGACCCGGTGCAGGGATGTAAATGTCATTACACCAACTGGGAACAATGACCACAATACTATTAAGTTCAGCATTCATGTAAACAGAAATTTGTCCCAAAAGTCCAAAACAATCACTTTTGATTTCAAAAGATGGAACTTTGCTAAACTGAGGGGACTAGTCAGAAGGAAGTTAAAATGAAGAATTAAAAGAGACTCCCTCCAGGATGACTGGAAACTATTTAAAACTATGCTGATCAAGGCCCAGATAGAATGCATACCTCAAAATGGGAAAGGCACCAACAAGTCTAAAAGGATGCCTGCATGGTTAATAACTCAAGTTAAAGAAGCCATAAAAGGCAAAAAGACTTCCTTTAAAAAGTGGAAGATTTCCCCAGTCAAGGTGAACAGAAAGGAGCACAAATTCTGGCAAAACAAATGTAGAGGAGTGGATGGCCATAATCATCCAGACATACAATAAGCATTTCTTCAAATGTATCAGCAGCAGGAAAACTTGCTAGGGAGGCTGTTGGGACTTTGGATGAAAAAAATAAAAGGATTGCTTAGGGAAGATGGCAGAGAAACTGAATACATCATAGCATCTGTTTTCACTGTGGAAAATGTGGGGCACATAACCACACTGAATCCACTGGGTTTTTCTGCAAGGGTGTCTTGACAAACTGAGTCACACTGAGGTGACTGAGGACTTCTAGACTGACTTAAAACCAGAAAGTTCTCAGGTCCAGATAGCATAAACTCATCGGTTCTTAACTCAAATATAAAATTGTTGGTCTACTAATAAGTATATGTAACTTATCACTAAAATTGACCTCCGTGCCAAGTGACTGAAAAATAGCAAATGCCGTTCCCATTTTTAAAAAGGGGTCCAGAGAGTAGTTAAAATAAGTAAATCCAGATATTCACACAGAAGAAAACCAGGGCAACCACACAGTGCCAACTGGTATTGAAGGAGGTGGTCAACTGCTTTAATGTCCAAGTTAATTTACTGCCAGGGTAATCAAATAAAAATCAAATGAATTTTATTCACAATGTTGTGAATAACAGAACACCCATCCTTGTGTATTCTGCCATTACAGTCCATACAGTTTATGCTCTAGTTCATATTTTTTTATTAAGTACAGCTTCAATTCTTGCTTCACTCTAATTGTGCTTTCTTTTATATGTTTTATATTGTTTGATAATAAAGGATTTATAAAAATGCACATTGGGAATCAATGAAATGCACCTTTAACACAATTCTGCTGTGATCTGATGAAAATTTCTTTACGCCATTCCATAGTATTCTAATTACCGTGAAGGGGGGGGGACCGAAGAGCATAAGGAATGCCCCTCATGCTGGTCTTCAGTAACTCATTGCACTTGGCTATCCTCAGCTACAGCTGCTTCTTATGCAAGGCAACCTCAGCAGAACTGTCCAAATGGGCACTGTCACACACACCTTTTTGTTGGAACGACTCTGCACAACTGAAAAGGGAAGATGGTCTCTGTGACGGATTCCAAAAAGGGAACACCTAGAGAAAAGTGATGTGCAGACATAGGGCAGTGTGGAGAGATGGAATGTTTGGGAGGTTGATGGGCAGAAAACGGACAGGGAGGTTGTTGGAGGACGGAGAGTGAGTGAGGAGGTTGTGGGCGGTTGGAGGCTAACGGCCATTGGGAACTGACACATTTTGGGGAGAATCCCAGAGAGCGGTTTAAATTGTTGGAACCTTTGGAACGTGTATCTAATTAAGGTTGTGCTGGAGGGAAATGAGAGATGTCACAGTAAAGCCGTTTTATTCTTATAAACAACGGAGTACGGTCACTAATTTCCGCCAGTTTAAAAGCCTTGGAGTGAACCAAGACAGTTTCATCACGAAGAACGAAACCAGTGGGTAAGTGGTCCCCGCTACTACCCGAAGCTAGCAGTGTCCCGCGTAAGAGTGGTGTCCAAAAGGCAGTGGCCTGTAAGAGCCCGTGACAGTCTCCTACAGCCCTTGGAACTTCATACTTACAGATCCTAATCTCTCTTTCTGCTCTCCCAGTTCTCTCCTTCCACCAGTACTGGGGAAGCCTTATACACCATCATATGCTGTCCCAGTGGTGTACTGGGACAAAATCATGCTCTTAGTTTCTGTGTCTTGGCCTCCAACTCTCTTAATTCCTCAGAGGTTCAGTGTTTAATCTTTCTTGCAACACCAGCTGTTTTTCAAAAGCAATTCCTGAATCATTGTTGATTTCTACACATACCATTCATTTCCCTACTATGTATAACAAGATAAATGCCTGCATTTCCAAAACTGAAGAAGGCTTAAATCATTTAACAGCTTGGGGGACACATGGTATCTGAACTGAGCCAGTGTTCTTCCAAATTTACTTAAGTTTTGTATTTCTACTGTCTGCTTCCAATTCATTGTCTATTTCCTGTAACTGATATTCCAGTTCACTTTCTTGGCAGGATTTATCTTCATTGTCCCAATAGTCTTCATCGTATTTGTCCATTAAATATTTCTCAGGTGTGAGATCATCAGAGGCTTTCCTGGTTTTCTTCCTTCTCAGTTTCTTTTGCTTCTGTATCTCAGCCAGTTGCTCCTGCTGCTGCTGGGTCAGTCCAATCCCTTCTATTTTCTTGTCCTTTCTCATTTTTTTGTATTCAAGTATCTGCTTATTTAATTCTTCATGATCAATCCCAAACAGATTAGAAAGCATGGGAGGATCTGAGGTGTCCATAGAGACATCAGCCTTTCCAGATCCTTGTTTGCTGCAAGAAATAGGCAAAGTCTGATAAACTATCAGCATATTTGATATTCTGCAAGTAAACACAAACCACATACAGGCTCTGCTAAACGTATCTGCACATAGTGCAAAGTTAGCTCTGAATATTTCAATTTTGCCATCAGGTTTCCAAATCTTAAACAGTTATAGTCTCAGCTATTAAGTCCCATTTGTTTCAAGGGGGCAAGAGAGAACCACAGGAATCACTGGAATCAGTGGGCATCGAAAGCACTTAGTTCTGGCTGGAAGTGTGCCCTAACACTGAGGCCTGGCATTTCACATACACATAAAATTCCCAAAATCCACAGTACCCCTAAACTGTTCATTCATAAGCACCTCAAAACTGACACACTGCCTAACTAGGAAAGAAAAAGACCTCCACCCATCACAGTTCTGCACTGTAATCCCTCTGCAATACACACTGACGCTAACAGCTCCGGAACGCAAAACTCATGACAATGTATTTAAGCGAAAACATCCTCCAACCAAAAACAAAGGCATTCTGTTGATATTAGCATCAATTATCCATCAGCCTATTTTCCCCCAGAATGTTTGATAACAGCTGCATGTTACAGCTAGAGGCGTTATGCACAATGGACATGAATCTGGCTTGCCTTCATGCTTGTACACTCCCCTCTTCTCCTCATGTGCAAAGCAAAACTCAAAGACTTCCTGATTTTGGAAGTCTTCATACTTGATTTCTTGTGATGTCTGAATGCAGGAACCAGGATGAACTGAAATGTGTTCCTTCCCCACGAACTGGGATTCTAAACTTGGATTAAACAGAAAATGCCAGTTTGTCCAGGAGCCTGCAGTTGGATGTTCTGACAAACTGGAGTTTTGAACCTTCCAAAAATGAGGAAAGCCTTCATTCATCAGCCGGGGGGGGGGGGGGGGGGTGGGGGGTTGTGAGATGCACACAAGCATGACAACAAGAGTGGTTCATTGTTGTCACGAAATAATCATTATTACAGGTGTTCACCAGTTTAGCAGAGCTAGGTCAATGGACAGTGCAATTAAGAACATAAGAGACGCCAATGTTGGATCAGGCCAAAGGCCAATCCAGTCCAACAGTCTGTATCACACAGTGGCCAGAAATCCCAGTGCCATCAAGAGGTCCACAAGTGGGGCCAGGACATTAGAAGCCCTTCCACTGTTGACGCCCCCCCAAGCACCAAGATGACAGAGCATCACTTGCCCCAGAGCCCCTATCTATATCTTGTGGCTAATAGCCACTGATGTACCTCTGCTCCATATGCTTATCTAATTCCCTTTTGAAGCCGTCCATGCTTGTAGCCGCCACCACCTCCTGTGGCAGTGAATTCCATGTGTTAATCACTCTTTGGGTGAAGAAGTACTTCCTTTTATGCGTTCTAACCCGACCGCTCAGCAATTTCATGGAGTGCCCACGAGTTCTTGTATTGTGAGAAAGGGAGAAAAGTACCTCTTTCTCTACCTGCTCTATCCCATGCATAATCTTATAAACGTCAATCATGTCTCCCTTCAGTCGTCATTTCTCCAAGATAAAGAGCCCTAAGCGCTTTAACCTTTCCTCATAGGGAAAGTGTTCCAACCCTTTTATCATTCGAGTTGCCCTTTTCTGCACTTTTTCCAAAGCTATAATATCCTTTTTAAAGTGTGGTGACCAGAATTGCACACAGTATTCCAAATGAGGTCGCACCATTGATTTATATAGGGGCATTATGATATTGGCTGATCTGTTTTCAATACCCTTCCTAATAATCCCCAGCATAGCATTGGCCTTCTTTATTGCAGTCACA